TATATATATATATATATATATATATATGTGGGAACTTATAAAGAGAATGTTTAAAGATTTTCGCGGTATAAAAATCGCAGGGATAAAGTAAAGAGCAGAATAAAAAGGAGTAAAGGGAGCACACTAAGATTTATACTGGTTCACCACAACGTGTGGCTAGTCCAGTCTCCTGAGAGACTCTCTCGAGCTACAATACTTCCGTTAAGCTTACGGGTGTTTAACAAACCGTTACAACCTGAGAACTCGAGTCCCACGAGCCTCAACAATACTTGCTCGGAGATAACGCACTCCAAGACTTCAACCCAAAAGAAAAATACCTTTCATTCGTACAACCAAGGGAAACAAGCTTCCCTTAACGTGTATACAACACTAAAACACTCAAGAACAAATACTCTCTTTTGGAGTGGACATTGAGTAAAATATGTACATTCAAGAACAACTCAAACTCCACACAATTTGGCTCTAAAAAGCTATGGAAAAAGATGTTGTATGAATGCAATGATAATATGTGTAATGTGAAGTGAATTCCTTGTGTAATGCAGACCCAAACACCCCTTTTTATAGTGCCAAAATAGGCTCCAACGGATCATGGCATTAAAGGGGTGATTGGCATGATTTGTGGGATTGATATTAAAATATGGATTTGCAGGAGATTGGCTTTCCAATCGATGTATGGAGCTATCCATTACTGGTAAGCCAATTTTCCTTCAGTTTTGAAGGCAACGGTCACCTACCCATCGATGGGCAAACACTTCTCATCGCTGGGTGGGAGGTTGACTTTCAAATAAGGAAAGAATCAACCTTAAATGACTTACAACGACCATGCCTAACCACCGATGGGTATGCCCTCCCATTGCTGGGTTCCCATTGCTGGGTTCCCATTGATGGGTTAAAGTCCCCATAGCTAGGTAAGGGCATTCTACCTTGTGTTTATATTGGACCAAGGCTTGCACAGCGATGGGTAGAACTTCCCATCACTGTTTGGCATGGTTCTGGAATTCGGTTGGGCTAAAGGTCCGCTTACCCATCGATGGGTAACACTTTCCATCGCTGGGTGGATGCTTAGTTAAAAACCCATGGTTTTTGCCTGAACCATGGCCTAGCTAACTGATGCTAAAACCAACCGAAAAATGCAACGTTCTCCAAAATAAACACCAAGTGTTCAAAACACTTTTTTAATGTATTTGGCTAATAAAACAAGTGAGATGTCATTTGAGTAAAAACTATGGCTAGCCAAGTTTGTGCCGTTTTGCATGGTTTTTGCCAAGCGATCAAAATCGAAAGGTGGTTTTTAAAGTATTCTTGTTGGAAAACTGTTTAAACATGCCCAGAAGTAAAAACCAATCATAAAATGTTGAAAACCACTTGGTTGGTTCGGACGCCAAAAACCAACGCCGATAATCGAATGCCGAACGCCGGTTTCTGAAAACCGAATGCCGGTTTCTGAAAGTCGAATGCCGGATGGCTTAGTTTTTGGTTTGGGCAGACACCAAGTGTTTTTAATGTGTTAAAACATGTTTGAAATACATTTTTATGATATGTGAAATGCAATAAAAGCGTTTTAGCCTAAAGAGGCAAAGTTTGAGGCTTTGGTCGGTCTTGATCACATTTGTGACCGACTCAACGACACTACAACTACGGTCTTCGTTCTTGGTCTCTTTTAGCTCTTGTTTATGTCTTCATTTCTCGCCTTGTATATTCAATACTTTGTCTTGATCGCGGCGATTTAGCATTATCAAAATCTGTCATTAAAAGCGAACACACCTTTAGTACGAAAACTTGATAAACCCGTGTTTCAACACATTAGCGTTTCCTCAAAAGCCAACCAATATTAATGTCCACGCACCCAAGTTTAAAGCCTAAATGAGCTCAAAGCAAGCCAAAATGGCGGTGATCCTTTAAAGACAATGCAAACTCTCCATGCCAAAGCTTTGCCCATTTCATGCTAGGCTTCAAGTACACGATGCCCAAAAGCTAAAAGCAACAAAAAAAGATTGCCTATGTTCTTCAAACGAAAAGGACCAACTTCGAAGAAAGAGCACTCTAGTAGCTCCTCAAAATAATGGAAGAGGGTGTCTGCAAACGAAGCCACAAGCTGATTTCCTTTGGATAGTGGTAAAATAGATTAGCAACAACCCCAAACTATGCCAAACACCAGCATTTGAATGCCTAGTTCTTATGTTGAAGAATCCCTTACTATTAAGCCCAAAGCCCAAGCCAAGGAAACCAAACAATGACAACTGCACCCCCAGGAATCAACGTGAACAAGAATGCCACATATTCAAACCTAGGGAAGAGGCCAACGAAAACAAAGGAAAGCATGTCATGTTATCTTCGACATACTCAAAGAATCCATAAAGCAAAAGACAGTGAGAAAAGCATTAAGAAAAGCCACAATGGCAAAACAACAAGCAATGTAGTGGAGAAGAACATGAATAGTACCACGCATCCAAGAAAACAAATAAATGAAACATGTTTGTTTAATAAAATATCTAACAATAGTAGCTGAAAGTTCTCGAAAAACCAAAAAAGAAACCACAAAAGTTGGGAAAACAAGAAAGAACCTGGTGCAATCTGGACTCGAAATCCTCGCTGTAAATAGTGACGGAAAATCAAAATCTTGCTCCAATAGAAAGATTAATCAAGTGGAATTGAAATCAATCTTTGTACCTTGAAAGAGCAAGCCAAGTCGCTCATAATCCCAAAATATTGGCCTTCAATTGAGCTTGAATCTAGGTGGAACCAAGCTCCCATGGTCGTCGGCGTAGGAGTTGACTTTCAATCCGCCAAAATCTAGCCCCCAAAAGCCGAAATTCAATTCTAGACCAGTTGCACAAGCATGAGACGAACACAAGGCTCCAAAAATTGCAAGAAATGATCAACTAAAGCAAGTTGGAAGCTAAAGGGGCAGACCGTGGGAGCAGTGTTGTGAGAACATTGCCCTGTTCCGACACCAAGAGAGACGAAGAGGAGCCCGAAGGTGAAGATGAACTAGAGAAGATGAAGATGAACCGCACGGCTGGTACGAAATAGGGATGTAAACAAATCAAATATTTTAAATTCGATTCGCGATTCGTATTCGAATATGATGATTCGAATTCGCGTTATTCAAATACAAATTCAAATTCAAATATTATTTTTGATTCGAATATTAATCAAATACAAATACAAATAGAGATATATTCGATTCGGATGATATTCGAATATTCGAATATATGTATATATACACAGACCATGTTTTCAACATCAAAAGTCAAGCAAAGTAATATAGTATAAAGTGTATTTAAATACTAAGAATTCAATAAATTAACGTAACACGAAAATATAAAGCATATAATTTTTAATAGTTATATTTTATAAAATATAATTTGTGTAAGATGCAAATGTATTAATGTTTTTATATACAGAATATAGTATAGTATAAACAATATCGTAAGTTAAATTACAAATTGATGTTGGTTCATCATATAAATTACATAGTATGATTATTCAAATATTCGTTTATGATTCGATAACTATTCGAATATTAATCAAATACTTATTCAAATCTTATTTTGAATTCGTTTCATATTCGGATTCGGATTTGTATTCGAAAAAATTAAACAAATATAAATTCAAATATATCGATATTCGCTTCGATTCGATTCGTTTACACCCCTAGTAGGAAAGAGGGGATGAGGATAGAGTTTGCAAAATCCCTAGGTTGTTGTTAGGACTTGTAATTTGATTTTTATTTATACTCAAGCCTACAAAGTCTTTCACAATCCATATCAAATAAAAATCTTAATCTATCAAATTTTGAACTTCATTAGATTTTAAAAGATTTTTTAGAATCTCAATTAAATACATTTAGGTTTTAAATGATTTTTTTAAAATCTTAGTTGAATACCAACTCACTTTTAAAATCCAAAAATATACATAAAAATTTTGATTGAACACTCCCCTTAAATCTCCAACAATTTTTTTTCTCTCTCCTCTCCATTTTTTCAGGAGTTCCATGGCCCAGAACCCTAACGAAACAGAGAACCCGAACGAAACGGTGAACCCGAACGAAACGGAGAAAGTCGTAAGCCAAAGCGTTTACGAAGATCATGAGGTCACTTCTTTATTTTCATTGTTTGCTCTTTTATTCATGTTGTTTGGGTTTTAACGAAATTACTATTTGGTTATGGAATGTAGGTTGTAATTGTGGAACAATCGATGTTCAGATCCCAGGAGTTTATGAATGATAAAGGGGCTTTGATGAGTACTGAGAGAGAAGATGAATCTTCAGTGGACAACTTTCGTCCCGTAATTGCTATAGTTGATACAGGCGTAAACCCAAATCATGAGTGTTTCAAAGATAACCACATTCCTCCCATCCACGATGATAGATGGAGTGGAGGAACAATTAGTGTTCCTTATAAGAGGTACATTTTGTGTGTTCATTATGGTTAATCTTGCCTTCCAGTATCTATCTCTCTTATAGCATCTGGTATGATATTCTGTTATCTTGTGCCTTGTTGGAGTTGGAGAGAGGAGCTAAGGCAGGTGGGATCCCAAAGGTCACAGTATTTTCCAGAGGAAATACTCAACTGACCTTTCGGGTTCTTGCCCATCAGTATTTTCCTAACAGGTTTGCAAGCTTTGCATTAAGTGGTGATTAAACAGATTAGAAAAACAGACTTCAAAGACCAAAATTCAGTGGTAACTAACTTAAGACCTTAGTAGAAAAAAGACGTGAAGGTTAGGCTTGGGATCTAGAGAGAGCTCCCTCAATCCAAAAGGGGCGGGCCTTAAGAAGGGTTAGCATTCACGCCAGAAACATAGTCAAACCAGTAAAATAATAATAATAATAATAATAATAATAATAATAATAATAATAATAAGAAAAGGGGAATAAAATAGCAATTAACCGCAAAGAAAAGAAAGCTAGTTTCCTCTCCTCAATCAAACAATTAATTTCTTAGATTTTTCAGCCTTTTGCTCCTCCTTGGTCTACGTTGAAGCTGTCCACTGAACTTTTTTTTTTTGCACAAAAATCACAAGATTTCATTACCACTTCAAATATTCAAATACACCATCAATCATGTCTCTTCCATTCCTACCTATCTAGTTTACATAATTCTCATATAATTAAAGTAGCTCTTAATGTAAAGAATAGCTTGCTCTTGAATTTCCTCAAGGCTTCTGGTCTTCTGATGCATCAAATCATTTCTCCACTTCCAAATGAAATAAACAGAGGTAGCCCACATTGCTATGATCATTTTCCTCTGTTTCCCTCCCTTCACCTTCAGCAATTCCACTCCAAAATCCTCTTCAGATTTGCAGTCCCATGATACCTGAACTCCTTCATGATTGCCTGCCCAATTGGTTTTGCCTTCTCACACCCCCAAACTAGGTGGTCCTGGGATTCAGTTGCTCTTCCACACAAATCACAGTTGGTGTTAATGTTCAGGAATTTAGCAAGTCTCTCTTTAGTTTGAAGCTTCCTTCTCCAAAATAACCAAATGATGAATCTGAATTTGGGAGGGGTAAATTTATTCCATACCCAGTGCCTCCAATCAGGTTTGCCCCTATTACCTTGTAGCCAATTATACCCTTCCCTGATCTCATAAGGTTTAGGGCTTGGCATTTCACTGAACTTATCCCTCACCCTAAGCATCTCCCTCCAGTAATAGCACGAGTCCTGCTTAGGATGGTATGTCCAGTAATCACATCCCTTAATGTATCTAGCATGTATCCACTTTACCCAAAGTATGTCTTTCTTTCCAGCAACATCCCAGTTAAGCTTCATGATAGCAGCTAGGTTCCAGTTCATAATGTTCCGAATCCCCAGTCCCCCATATTTTTTCAACTGGCACACCTCGTCCCACTGAACTAGTGGCACCTTATGATAATCTGCAGTCCCTCCCCACAGAAAATTCCTACAAATAGCCATAACCTTCTTGATTATACCTTTAGGTAGAATGAAAATTCTTGCCCAAAAGGTGATAACTCCCATTAGCAAAGAGTTAATGAGCCGAACTCTAGCAGTGTATGAAAAATGCCTAGACCCCCATGTAGAGATCTTGATTGTCAATTTGTTAATAAGTGCATCACATTCATGGGCTCTTAACTTGGCAGTTGTTATGGGTGATCCTAGGTAAGTCATAGGGAACTTACCTAATTTCATATTCATCATGGATAGCAGTCTCATTTCTTCTTCTGGGCTGACCCCCCCAAAGATAGCTTCTGATTTGTTCCTGTTAATCTTCAAGCCAGTAGTTCTGTGAAAGTTCTATAAGACTCTCAAAATACACCCAACAGACTGGGCATCAGCTCTGCACACCACAATTAGGTCATCTGCAAAAGTAATATTAATAATCTTCAACCTAGAACACAAAGGGTGATAATGGAAGGTCTCTTCTTGAGCTTCCTGGTGAAAACTTCTCGTGAGATATTCCATTACTAAGACAAACAGCAAAGGTGATATTGGATCCCCCTGCCTTAACCCTCTCCCCCCTCTTAAGAAACCATGAGATGTCCCATTAAAATTAATGGTGTAGCAAGGTGTTGTAACACAAAACTCAATCCATTTAATAAACTTCTCTGGAAATTTCAGTCCCTGCAATATTCCCCTAATGGATTTCCAGCTAACTGAGTCATATGCTTTTTGGATATCCAACTTCATCATGCATCTTGGAGAGATCCCTTTTCTTTTGTACCCCTTTGCAATTTCTTGGCAGAGCAAAACATTGTGCAGAAGTTCCCTGTTTTCCACAAAAGCAGATTGATTCAAGCTGACTAACTGTGGCAGAACAGCTTTAGGTCTCATACAAATCATTTTAGAAATTACTTTATATATAGTATTACAACAAGAAATGGGTCTAAAACCCTCTGGTTTAGTGGGATTAGGTATCTTTGGGATCAAGGTTAATCCAGTAATATTGATTTGCCTGAGGGTGGTTCCTTCCCTGAAGAAGTCCAAAATTGCTTTAGTGACTAAACTCCCCACTTTATTCCAGTTCCTCCTATAAAACCCACTATTAAACCCATCTGGTCCGGGGCTCTTAGAGCTGGGAATAGAGAACATTGCTTTCCTCACTTGTTCTGGTTGAAAATCCTCAATAAGCTCTAATTGCTGATTCACAGTTAGTGTCTTGCCCCTATCAAAAATCCTCCATTCAACCTCTCGTGTAGGGACAGTAGCTCCCAAGCTTTTCCTGTAAAACTTCTCCAACACCTAAGCAATTGCACTTGTACCCTCCACTTCTTCCCCATTATCTTGAATACCCATAATATAATTGTTCATTTGTCTTTTCTTCACCCAGGCATAAAATACTTTAGAATTTGTATCCTCCTCAGTGATCCAAATTTGTTTGCTTTGCTGGCATTTAAGTTGAAAGGATGCCTTGATTGCCTCATTTAACTGTTTGGTTAACTCCTCCTTATTAATTAAACCCTGGTTTGGATGTTTCTTAATTTCTTCTTGCAACTCCAGCAGTTGTTCCCTTTTCTCATCCACTTTTTTATGGATCTTCCAATACTTATCCTTATGAAGTCTCTTGAGGGGTTCCTTAATCCCTTTTAGATTCTGCAGCACTTGATACATACTCCTTTGATTACTGTTCTCCATCCAACCATGTTGCAAGATAACTGGGAATTCTTCATCCTCCATCCACATATTACAGAACCTGAAGGATTTGCCACTAGCAAAACTGTTCAGATCTTTGATTATCAGGGGTGAATGATCAGAAACCCCTTCTCCCAAAACCTTAACCTTGCAGTTATGAGTACTTGCCCATTCAATGTTGACAAGAGCCCTATCCAGTTTTGAATAGACCCTATGTTCTTCGTCCTGTTTATTTGACCACGTGAAAAAAGGTCCTTCACCTGGCAGTTCTTCTAGACCACATTCAGTTACACATGCTTTGAAATCCTTAATGTCATCTTCAGTAACAGGGTTGCCTCCCTTCCTATCATCAGTATTCAACACACAGTTAAAATCCCCAATACAGCACACCATGGACTATCAATATTTGTAGCAAAATTTTTTAATTCCTCCCATAGTTGCTTCCTCCCTCCCATATCGTTGAAGGCATATATAAAGGTGATGTAATCATAATTAGCTTTATCTATGCCCCTAACTTTTATATGGATAGCCTGTGCAGAGCTGCCCATGATAGGTACAATAACTTTCTTATTATTCCACATAATCCAAATCCTTCCTAGTGGATGTATATCCACATTTGTGTAGTAGCCCTCTTCATGCATAGCCATAGTCCAGTATTCATCATTAATGGCATCATCAATGCTAGAAGGTTCTATTTGAGATACAAAAGCCATATGATTTACTAAATTGCGTAATGAGCTACGAGTAGTTACCCCTTTGGAGATTTTACCAATCACATTGTCTAAAGGATGATATCTTGAAGTTCTCCATTCGGGTGGTAACTCATTTGCAATATGCTCTTCCTTTTTGTCCTCAACTTTTTCTTCAACAACTTCTTGTTTTTCAGATTTTGCCTTACTTGATTCACCTTCTTCAAGATTCATTTTATTTATTCTAACTTCGGTTTCCAGAATACCCATAACATTAGCTTTATACTTATCTGCTATATTCCTAACTTCCCATTGTTTATTATGGCTGTTGAGCCCTCTCACATTCCAACATACTATCATTGAAGAAATGGGTAGTGGCCATAAGGGGATTCCCTTATTGGTGCTTCTTGGTTTCTCAAGTCTTCAATAGTTAACCTTCTGGCTGCCTTTCTTCCAGTGACAACTTGGAAACCTACCTCCTCTTCCTTATCCTCACCCTTCTCATTTGCATTGACTGGTGTGTTTTCCTCCCCCATTGGTTGTATTGGAGTGTTTTCAACAGTTTTACTATCCACTTTAGCCTTTGGTCTCCACATTTTCTTTTGGATCACTCTTTCCTGTCTCCCCTCTTTCTTCCTACATTGCTCCCCAACATGGCCTAGTTTACCACATTTTGAGCATATGGATGGGTTCCATTCATAGACCACTGGTTGTTCTACAATTCTCCCCTCACTGTCCACAAATTTAATATTCTCTGGGAAGTCTTGATGCACTTGAACCTCGATTTGTATCCTTGCATAGTCCCACTTAGTTCTTGTAGCAGTAGCTTTATCCCTTTTAATAGGCTTGCCTAAGATACTACCCAGCTTCCCCAATCCTGATAAGCTCCAAAACTTAACGTCCAGCCCAGGAAGCTGGATCCAGACTGGAACATCACTCAGCTCCATTATGTTCAATTGGGTTCCAGGATGCCACTTCTGCACCAGCATTGGTTTATTGTCGAAGTAATAGTATTTCCTCTTCGCTACTTCATCTCTCTTTTCAGAATTCTTAAATTGCACTGTCCACTGAACTTCTTACTGAGTAACTCTAACCTTTTCAAATTTCTTATCTTGTTAGATTCTTTCTGGGCATGCTAGTCAACCTAAATTGTTTTTTTTAATGCAGGAAAATTCTGGCATTGAGAAATTACTATGCTGACAAACCAAGAACGAGTGCAGTTGAGGATGCTTGCCTACATGATGTTAATTTTCCTGAAGATCTGAAGGGGCATGGGACTGCTTGTGCTTCAATTGCAGCAGCGGCATCCACGGGCGTCGAGTTACTGGAAAGAGTTTTTGCTCCAAGAACCTTGATTAAAGGTGTTAACTCATCTGCCAGGATTTCCTCATACAAAGTTTTAGGCCATAAGTGGAGTAGCCGGAGTGATGAAACTAGGATTGAGGTAAAAAAGAGTACACTTATTGCAGCCTTTTTGCAAGCGATTAAGGATAAAGTTGATGTCATTTGTGTTTCATTGGCCACCGATTTGCAATCTGACCCTAGAAGGACTTTCTTTGATGATCCACTTAACTATGGTTCATATCTGGCATTCAAGAATAACATCCTGGTCTGTAAATCAGCTGGAAATGATGGTCCATGGATGCTTAGTTTAACAGGTGGTTTAGCCCCGTGGACCATGGTGGTGGGTGCTTGTGGTTCGGGAGGTCATTTTATCACTAATGTTGAACTGGGAAGTTCAGTGACATTGGAGGTATGTTTTGATTTTATTCTTTAAAGAAAACATTATGTTGTGTAATTATGGTTCAAGTGTTCAATTATTAACTGCTTTTTCTTTCTAGGGGTTTAATGCATTTCTTGACAAAGACTGGGATTATTCTGAGCTTGTTCATCAGACCGAGTAAGCGATATCAATAACATACAATTAATACTATTTTTATTGATCATGAGAGTTATGTTTAAAAATGATAAATGAATATTGCATATTTGCATTTACTAATAACCAAGAATAATATGTTGCAGGTGTTATAAGGAAAAGCTCAAAATTGAACCAAAAGAAAAGGGGAAGAAGTCCCGAGAAGAAGCACCGGAACCCAAACAAGAAATAAATTATGAAACCGTGAAGGGCAAAATACTTGTCTGGGAACATGGAAAATGTCCAAGAAAGAAAATCTTGGATGCTCAAGCACGGGGGATCTTACGGGTTGGTGTTTTAAAAAATGAATTCAGTTCTCATAACCTGCAAGAGTCTATAGTTTACGTGACTATGGAAGACGGAAAAAAGATTTATGATTACATTGCACAGTCGAGGTTTGTCTTGTTGACCCTTGTGTTTTAATAATGACAACTATCTCATGGGCTTGGCACTTTGAATGTTGATCTTCACTATCATGCGTTGGATCTCAAGACAAGTGTGAAGATATAGTGTTTTTGGTTTTCGTTTTGGTCTTAGCATTTTTGTTAAAGTGTATGGCACGTTAGTTGTTTTTCCCTCCTTGAAAATGTTTTTTTAAAAAACCCTTCAAATTGTTTTTGAGTCAATTGCAAAACAACTTTTTCAAAAACTGTGAAAACTATTCGGATAACTCTTGTATTACTCGAATAAGTCAGAGTTCTCAGTTCTGTCTTATTCGGATAATTAGCAGTTTATTCGAATAAGCCCTGAATCTCATTTCTTCAATCCTACAGTGACTTAGTCGAATAAATCTTAATTTAGTCGAATAAGGCTGCGTTTTTCGTTCTGATCTATTCGGATAAATATGATTTTATTCGAATAAGTGGTCAGTTTGAACTGCAGCTTTGTCAGTTTTTAAGGGAGTTATCCATCCCTATATTCCATAACTCACTTACAACGGCTCTTTTGCTTGAAGAACATTATTTATATCCATTCAAACATATTCTTTTAACAATCCAAGCAATTCAATTCATACTTTTGATCCTTCAACAATACTTCCAAGCAATTCTTCAAGAAATCAATATTTGCTTGAGTTTTGGAGAGTACTAGTGTGCCATACTCTATAAGTTCTTGTATTCTACAGCAATCCACTCTTAATTTGAAGAGTATTTCCGTTGTGCACTTTGTTTTGGAACAGTGTGTGAATTGTAAAAACTTGAAGTTGATATAATTCAAGTTTTTGGAGAGAAATCTTCGGTGGAAAGGTTAGAGGCTTGCGAATTCAAGTTCTCGAGTTGTAATTAGATTGTCAAACTCCGTTAAGTTTGACAAAGTTAGTGGAATCTCGGGCACGTTTGCTTCGGGGACTGGATGTAGGCATTAGGCCGAACCAGGATACATCGTGTGTTGCTCCTTCTCTTCATCTCAGTATTGTGGTTGATTTATTCCTGCGAATTTTTGTTTATTCTTCCAAAAGTTTTGATTTTTGAAGACACCTCTATTCACCCCCCCTCTAGAGGTGCATAAGTTGTTGTTCAACATGTCTTTTTAGATTGCTTTTTATTTAATGAATGAACTCACAACTTGCTACCTAACTCTGCTCATGATTTTTTTATGAAGGGCATCAAAGAAGAAGCCTACAGCAAGGTTGTTGAGGAGTATTTACAAAGAAAAAGAGGATACAAATATACTCTGTCTTAAGTCTTCCAGAGGTCCCAACATGTTAGATGAATACATTTGTAAGGTAGTAACTGTTATCTTTTTGGACATTGAGATGAACATACTATTAATTAATTAATGGGGATGGGCCCAAGCGTCTATTTTGACATCAATGCTGATCATACCAGTTCAGTTAATTTGTTTATATTGTTTTCTTAACAATAGCCCGACATTTGTGCTCCCGTAGAAAATATTTTTTGTGCAACCAGATGGAATGAAGTGAATATGAATGGTGGCTACCGGATGTTAAGTGGCACCTCGATGTCTAATGCAATGGTAGCAGGGATGATTTCACGAATCAAGTCCATCAAAAAGGATTGGGGACCTGGGAGAATCAGATCTGCGATAATTACCACAGGTACTTTTATAATTTTTAATTATGTACAATTCATTGATTTTTGTGTTGTTTTCTAATCAGATTTTGTTTCTCTTGATGTCTTAGTCTTTCCCCCCAAATTTGTTTTTGTTTTGATTGTAAATGTTCTCACCAGAAGGTTAGTAGTTACAAAAACTTTCTAATTTTGTAGCCACGCCTATGAACAAATCTTTCCTCTCAATGGGATGTGGTTCGGGGCGTATAAATCCCACAAGAGCACTGGATCCTGGGTTAGTATATGATGTGTCGTGGGATGAATTTCGGAGATACTTACTTGGCCGTCCAGCCGACATGAGATTTCTTGCTGAAATCGGGGAAAACACCAATGGTGAAGTGATACCAAGTAATGCATTGAACCTGCCAAGCTTTAGCTTGGCGGGAAAGGAAAGAACATCTGAAATATTCAGAAGAACATTGACAAATGTAGGCCCCAAACCAATTTGTAGTTATAGAGCACAACTCCATTTGAAGATAGAAGGAAATGACTCTAGTTGCCTCCAGATGAATGTCAAACCCAAGAAACTCAATTTTAAGAGCATCGGAGATAAAAAAAAATTTGAGTTGTTTATAAGTAGCGAGGATGGACTACCGCCAGGCGTGGTAGCATACGGAAGGCTGATATGGATTGAAGAAGAAAGTGACGATCCGCACCACGTATTGAGTCCAATCATTATGTGGCATCCAGGAGCGTTGTAAGTACCAATTAAAAAGTTAGTTTGAATTTTTATTTCTTGTTGCAAGCATACATTTATTTGTGATTAAAATTGTATTTAATTTTTTTTCATCTAGGTGCAGTGATGAAGAAGACAGCAGTAGTTCCTCACAGTCGCCGATGATACAACCTTCCAAAGATGAGATGGGTCCAAGACCAAAAAGGTTGAAATTAGGCTAAGTAGAATTTCCAAGTCCACAACCTTTTCAAAAACCAGTTAATAGTACCAAGAAGGGAGAATTCTCTAGTGCAGAGAAAATTGTCATAAAGAGAGAGTATTACTTATTATATATGTGTATATATATATGTATGTATGTGTGTGTGTGTGTGTGTGTGTGTGTGTGTGTGTGTGTATATATATATATATATATATATATATATATATATATCACAAAGGCGACTCGTAAGGCTCAGGCAACCATATATCAAGCCTTGGATAATACACCTCAACTCTGCAAAGAAGGCCACACCCTTTCTAACAATGAGGTGGAAGGTTTTCTACCTGGAATTACAGACCTGTCTAGGGAAAAGGCACTGTGTGGAGAACAACACAATACTTCCACTCCAGGGATTGTCAAGGTCTTAAAAGAGGAAGAGCAGTTCACCACTTTAGTTCTAAACTCAGATGAACAATTAATTATTGACGGTCTTTTAAGAATAGCTCCTGATGTGCAAGACCCAACAATGGATGGACCTATTCAAACAGAACTAGAGCTCAAGTGGATTGATGAAAAAGAGGATGATGCAGCCAGAGGAGATTTCCTCAAACTTTGGCAGTCTATTACAGGCTTGGGAAATATCAGTAGGTTTGGTTTGCATAATTGAACGGGAAAGGGTTTGAGAAGCTTCTCGCTGGGAATATCCAGCTTGGACCAAGACCTTGGTTTGTCTAGGCTAGGGGTGTTCATCGGGTCAAACCAGGACCGGACCGGCCCGGACCGGGACCGGACCGGCCCGGACCGGGACCGGACCGGCCCGGACCGGGACCGGACCGGGACCGAATAAGGGGCATTTGGTGGACCGAGGACCGGACCGATTAAGCTAAGGACCGGCCCGGGACCGGACCGTTAAAACCCGGACCGGACCGGAACCGGACCGGATAAATGCTATTTTTAATTTTTTTAAATTTGATTTTATTTATTTAATTTGAAGTATTCAATTGAATAAAAATATTACTACAACTAATTTTTAATTGTAACATACACTAAACATTGTCAAACACTTTTGTTTTTAATTTTTTTCAAAAACTTTAAATAAAATATATATTTTCCATTCGTATTACATAAAATTTGTTTGTAATTTTTATTTTAATAGGAAATATTCTTCTTCTTACTGCATTTTTGCTTATTTGTAATATAATTTTTGAGTTTTCAATTAATTTTGGCAAATGGATACTTTTTTTACTATTTTCATTCATGAGATTGTTTATAATGTTTATTTTTGAATTGAAAATATTTAAATGTCATTAGAATTGGTACCTTATTTTGAATTGAAAACATAATTAAAAAATTATATTAAATAATAAAATCAAAACATTTGAAAAACTTTTAGTATTAAAGTTAAATTAATTTTAAGTATAAGAAAAAATCTTAAAAAATACAAAATTATAAGACTATATAGAAAAAATATATTTAAAAAAAAATAATATAACTGGTCCACCGGTCCGGACCGAAACCCGGTGGACCGGACCGGACCGGACCGGAACCCGAATAAGGAAATAATGAGGACCGGAGACCAGACCGAATAAGGACGGGTCCGGACCGGTCCGGTCCGGTCCGGTTTTGGCCGAGTTTCGGGTCGGTCCGGGTCCGGACCGAATAATGCACACCCCTAGTCTACGGAGTGTTTGTGTTTTAGCTTCTGGATAATATGCTCCGTAGATGTTTTGTAATCTTCCTATTTCATATTTTCTTTGGGTTTTCTTTGTGTTTGGCCTTTTTGTTGGGGCTACTGGCCACCCCATCCTTTACTTTCTCCTTTTTAAATAAAATATATTTTCTTTAAAAAAAAATATATACTCCCTCCGTCCGGAAATGTTCTTCCCGTGTTGACTTGGCACGTTTATTAAGGAATAGTAAAAAAAATGCAAAATTTTCAAAAATGCACATACTATAAACTTTTAAATCTCCTTTTATTATTAAAAAAGTATTAAAAAAGTAGATTTGTGATAAAATAGAAGGGTATTATTGATATATAGCCTTAAAAAGCATACTAAAAAAGGAAATGTGAAGATTATTTCCGGACGGGCCAGAAAAGAAAATGGGAAGAATATTTCCGGACGGAGGGAGTATATATCTTTATATCTTGAGAGTTGAACTCTTTGAATCATGGCATGTGGCTAGTCTACTTGGCAGAATTTTAACAAATCCTTTGCAACCTATTAATGACTTGAATGATGTGGTCATTTTGATCAAAACATATAGTATGTACCCTTTTATTTATATAATAAGGGCCTATCTTGTCAGGGTAGTCATTTTTCCGTCATTTCGTCCGTTTAAAGTTAACGTCGCCAGGGTAGGAGTGAGCTTTTGCCACTTTTTTTCGCAAATTTCCCTTTCTTCTTGATCCAGAGAGGAGCGATGCTTTCCACTGGCAAACAACTCTTCACTGCCAGTCTGCCCTGTGCATTGAGACATGCACCAACGACAGCAAAGAATATATCAATTTTCCAATTCTGATCAAGCTATGGACCTAGCTTTATGTGCAGTTATACGGTGGACTCCTCTCTCATCAATCCCCCATCTATTGGAACTTAAACTAAAGCACCACCAGCCCGGGTCAATCACGGCATAGTACGTGCAGTACACTTGAGGCCGCTATCAATTTGGGAATTCGGGGTATATAATCAGTGCTTCCTAATGCGTTCTTTTTTTTTCTATTCATTGAATTCTTATTTTTAGGGTTTGATAATTTGTTCGTATTTGGTTTTTTGAATATTTGAAGTTTGATAAATGCTTTTTTTATATAATGATGTTTTATTTTTATAATTTCTCAAATTGGGGTTTATTTCTTGGTTTGCAAATGGATCTTAATTAAGTGTCGAATATAATTATCAATTTCGGAATGTATTTTAATTTCATTTTTTTTTACTGAAATTTAAGAGTCCAAATGGTCTTGAGCTTCTTCTCCGTTCATCCCAAATTGCTTCATAAAGTAATTCAAGATTTGATGTGGAATTTTGTAATAACTTTAGCTTTAGTTAGACATCATTTGATTCATTTCTCCTTTTGTCCAGTTGTCCTATACTTGTTGCTAGATAATAGCACAATTATGTCTTCTTTTTAACCCATTGCAGGGGTATATGGTGAAAGCAGTGACACACCAACCACATTAGCTTATTTGACTCATTACTATAATTGTGCTCAAGGACTTTGTTTAAAATGTTACTTTTAAAACTGCACCACCCACGATATCATCCATCACTGACACATTTTAATAAATCTTCTTGCAACGTGTGGTTGTGTTGAGCACTTGCACATTTAATGAATCTTCTTGCCTTGTATAGCCCGTCTGTTTGGTCCTTGTCCTCCTACCTTCGTCATGGCAGCACTATACCTTTTTTTTTTTTTTTTGTTCAATCACCCACTATCATTCCACGGCTCACTATCTCTGTATATATTATATACACTATCCTCTTGCACCGTCCTTATATCATCTCTCTTCATTGTTGGTCTTTCTTCAAATTTCTTCCGCCCAGGTAATTAATCAAAATATTTGTTTTCCATTTGAGTTCTAAACATTAAGCTTTCAACCTAAATTGTTGGCTTCCCTTGCATATTAGGTAGCACCATAACACTTTTTTTGTTGTTGAATTGAATCAATGTTTTACACAAAGAATTAAGATCTAAATCATGCAGTTGTTCTTGTTTAATCCACAAGTAGTTAAATTCTATGCAAATAAAAACTACTTGATTCAAACACTCAGGGACGGAGGGAGTATATATGAAATTCAATGTTAGAAATTGATTCAATTTGAAATAACCCTACACGAAACCTAATTACTTATAAAAATCAATTTTTTAAAATTTAGGAAACTCAAATTTGGTTGGGCTAAAACATCATTTCTCATTTGCATGTTCAAACCAACATTTAAATAATACTTGATGCTTGACTCCAACCCAATTTAAACCTTCTAAATCGTTCCATTTTAATTTAGCTCTTCTATCTATCCAATGTATTGCACATATTTATGTTCAATATTATTTTTCATTCAACAAAGGGTCGAAGCGATATGAAGCTCAAATTTCAACTTTCGGTTTTTTCTTGAAGGTGTTGAACAACTTACGCACCTCTAGAGGGGGGGTGAATAGAGGTGTTCTTCAAAAATCAAGAACTTTTGGAAGAACAAAATTTGCAGGAGTATATCAACCACAAGAACACAAAGATGAAGAGAAGGAGCAACACACGATGTATCCTGGTTAGGCCTAATGCCTACATCCAGTCCCCGAAGCAAACATGCCCGAGATTCCACTAACTTCGTCAAACTTAACGGAGTTTGACAATCTGATTACTACTCGAGAACTTGAATTCGCAAGCCTCTAACCTTTCCACCAAAGTCTTGATTTCACAAGACTTAAGATTTCTCTCCAAAACTTGAATTATATCAACTTCAAGTTTTTTACAATTCACACATTGTTTCAAAACAAAGTGCACAGCGAAAATACTCTTCAAATTAAGAGTGGATTGCTGTAGAATACAAGAACTTATAGAGTATGGCACACTAGTACTCTCCAAAACTCAAGCAAATGTTGATTTCTTGAATAATTGCTTGGAAGTAATGTTGAAGGATCAAAAATATGAATTGAATTGCTTGGATGCATAAAATAATATGTTTGAATGGATATATATAATGCTTTTCAATCAAAAGATCCGTTGTAGGTCAGTTATAGAAGATAGGGATGGATAACTCCCTTTAAAACTGACAAAACTGCAGTTGAAACTGACGACGTACTTATTCGAATAAAATCATATTTTTCCGAATAGTTCAGAACGAAAAACGCAGACTTGTTCGACTAAATCAAGATTTATTCGACTAAGTCACTGTAGGATTGAAAAATGAGCTTCAGGACTTGTTCGAATAAACTGCTATGTATTCGAATAAGACAGAACTGGAAACTCAGACTTATTCGAGTAAAACAAGAATTATCCGAATAGTTCTCACAGTTTTGAAAATGTTATTTTGAAATTGACTCAAAAAACAATTTGAAGGGTCTTGGAAAACATTTTCAAGGAGGAAAAAAACAACTAACGTGCCATACGCTTTAACAACAAATGCTAAGACCTAAACGAAAAAACAAATACCCTATATCTTCACACTTGTCTTGAGATCCTACGCATGATTGTGAAGATTAACATCCAAAGTGCCAAGCCCATGATATGAGATAGTTGTCATTATCAAAACACAAGGGTCAACAGAAGGGAAAGCAACTTTAACTTTCAGTTTTTAGAGCTTCAATTCTTCTTTTTCTTCTATTAATTTCTATTTCAATTCTTAGAGTTAATCAATCCCATCCGCCCTAATGGCAAGAATAGATGAATCAAGTGAATAAAAAAGTTCACATATGAATGTCTTGATGCCATTGGCATCAAGAAAAAAGATTGGCTAATCTTTTATCTTTTTGCAGTCTCGTAGATGCCTAAGTAACAAGCACCTAAACTACTTCATTTGCACTTTGGTTCAAAGAAAAAAGACTTGGAGTGCATGCTCCCTAACCCTCTTTGTTAACTTGTAATGCTTTGTTGGTTGTAATTAAATCCCTTACTCCCTCTATTGTAGTTATACATTACCTATGCACTTTTGGTTGAAAAACAAATGACTTTGTACTGGGCACCCACACGCATTGTGCGTTCCCAGCTAGTATGTCTTATATACGGAGTGCCGCTACAGTTTTTTTTAGAATCTTTTTCTTTAAATTTTAATTTTGAGAGTTGGCTTTCAAAATTGTGACATATGTCACGCTTAGTCGACAAATTCTTTACACGTTAGCAGCCATTTTAGTCATCTAGCTTTGGCAAGAACTTTCTCTATTGTATTCTTTCCAAAATTCGCTATTTGAAAAAGATAAAAAATGACAATCAAATACTGTTTACTTTAAAAAATGAAATAATACAAAGTTGTTATTTAAATGTTTTTTAAGAAATTAAAAATGTATACTACATATATTAAAAGAAAAAAAAAATTATAAATTGACAAACAATGCATTCTTTTAATGGGTAATAAGTTAATTATTAATTAGTGTTCCCAATCGAATAATTTATGGTGAAGTATTAACTGTAATAAATGTAATTACTATCAAATAATATTCTTAAACAATAATTCTTATATTTTTGGTTAAAAAAAATTGTTATATTTTTAAATAGTACATGCTTTATTTATAGAAAATGCATAAAATTTAGAAACTATAATAAGTTATAAATGGATAAAAGATATAAAAATGTTAAATATCTACGGGCTTAAATAAGATACAACCGATATTAAAAGGAAAAAATGTTATACATGGCCCGTAATGTTTTTTTGAAAATAAAATATGCATTATTATCCTATACTTAAAAGCAGGGGAAATAGCACCCACCTCTTTTCCCTCCCAAAGGAACAACAATTTGGTCCGTCCATTCATGATGATCAACGGCTGAAAATAAATCATTTAAAGAAATAAATATTTTAGTGAAAACTGCACATCTAAAAATGGTAATTTAAATAATTAACCGAGTTATATCCATTTTTTGTGCTTCCATACAATAAATAGTTTTTAAACTTATTTTAGGAAAATGTTATATATAGAGATATGACGGGGTATTAATACTATTTATAAAAATAATATGATTATTATTATTATCATTATAAAAGAATAATAGAATATTTTCTATAAGAATAATTTATATAAAATAATATATTCTTTTATCATTATAAAAAATATATTTTTGGAAATTTTGTGCCTTTACTAATATGATGAGGATTATACCTTTCGTGTAATATATCCATTTAAATTACTACCTTTGGTGTCATATATCCATAAATGGAAATAATATTGTTTGCCTTTTCTTACTAATTTATATGGAAATATTTGTTAGAAATTTTGTGCCTTTAATATATTCTTTTCTGAAATAAATAAATGTTGATATAATTTTTATACGTTTTATAGTTTTGTTTCCTTTTTTCGAAAATAAATATTTGTATAAATAGACAATCATCTAAAAATGAAAATAAAATAATCGACATTTTTAGGAAATAACATTGAAACTTATTTTAGGAAAATATTATATATGGACATAGGATGGGGTATTAATACTATTTATAAATAATAATAATAATATCATTATAAAATAATAATAGAATAATTTCTATAAAAATAATTTGTATAACATAATATATTATTTTTATCATTCTAAAAAATATATATATTCGAAAATATTATCAGAAATTTTGATCCTTTAAGGTAATTTCGTGTAATATATTCATTTATATCACTACCTTTCGTGTCATATATCCATACATTGAAAAAATATTTTTTTCCTTTTTCTTACTGATTTATATGGAAATATTTGTTAGAAATTTTGTGCCTTTAATATATCCTTTTCTGTAATCAACAAATATTTATTTAATTTCAACTAGGTTGAGAACTCGAAGTCTAATTCAAATTTCTTGAATGACTTACATACTCTCGAGTTCTTAAATAAGATTCGAGTTCTTAAATAAGATTCGTGCTCCCGAAGTATCAAATCATGAGTTTCTTTTGAATGTAACTCGGTGGGCTAATCACTCAATACAAGAAAAGATATTATCCAGAAGACACATGCGCTAAGAAATTGTTATTCCAAGACTATCATTGACACCATCTGATGCCAAAGTTCCATTCAAGTTTCAAAGAAGACAATTTCATTTTGTTACTTTATATGCAATGGCGACTAATAAGAGTCAAGGTCAATCTCTAAAACACGTGGGAATATTGTTATGGAAACCTGTATTTAGTCATGGATAACAATATATTGTTGTTTCAAAGGTAACAAATCATAATGACTTGAAGATTTTGATATATGACATTACCACAAATTAAACCAATAATTTAGTGTATAAAGAAGTTTTCTGAAATTTGTAAGTCATAGGATATTCATGATTTAAAATTATGAAAAATATTATATTTCATCGTATCGTGTATTTCTTTTCCTTCAATAGTGACACCAATATATGTTGATAACGTAAATACGAGCCGTGCAACGCGCGGGTGTAATGCTAGTTAATATAAATATGCAAAAAAACATCTTTGAACTTAAAATTATTTTTCACATACTTCTCACTCTTGATAAAAACTACTAGTAATTTGATTTCGCAAAAAGTAAACGAGCATTAAGAATTTTCTATATAAAGCGTGTATTATTTAAGAATATAAATAATCATACATTTTTTCTTACTTTTTCATATCATATCTATCACATCATACATTTTTTCTACTCGTAATAATCTACCTATCACATCCTACTTTTACCCATCACATCAAGAATAT